TATTATTTGTGTATGTTACTGTTTTCTGACTTTTCTCTCCATGGATTTATAAATTATTATACATCAATCGATTTGTTTTTGTGTAAAATAAGAAAAACATATAACTATTTGTATTCAACAAATTATAAGGTACAAGTAGGCACGTACGAAAATTCGCACAGTATATTGTTCAGTAATCAAATAATAAATTAATAAGAAAATAAAATAATGCAACGTATCATATAAGAAACCGATTGTTACTTTCTCGCTAAATATAATCGACAAAGCAAACAAAAATTAATTTAAAACTTCTTTAATCTTTGGAACCAACATGTTTACAAAGTTCAATAAGCTGTATTTTTGCTAATAATTGTCCAATTCCCATGAGTTATTTTTCCTTTTGTAGGGAATTTAGTAATCTTTTATATAATTATGGACATCACCAAGGGAAAAGTGTGTAATGATTTTTGAGTTATTCGCAAATAAAGTTTCTTTTCTTTCATAATGTTTTTGCCTGAATTTTCTTAATGTTTAAACTTTTTTCTGCCCGAAGGGTAAGGAAACCTTCAAAATTGGTTACTGAATCTTGTGAATTTAATGAAGAATTAACGATGATATGGCTTACTGACAAAAAAAAAAAACCTTTGATAAACAATATTAACTCCTCCTCTCTCGATCATAGAAACCTCAAGTCGACGAACTGAGACATGTATTCCATGATAGTACTACAATTAACATAAGGCTGTGTGGATGCGAACCCTTTGCCTTGCATTATCTCGAAAATAGTACGTTTTTGGGCTTAAAAACACAGGGCCCAATAGTTCCAAAGGAGTGTACGTATCAAAATCTACAAAGCCCATTTGTCCCGTATCGATCTACAGACTTACCACTGTTTCAGTATTGAAGCCTTGCAATATGTTTAAATCGACTTTATTTATTTGAGAAAGAAAAACAAAAGTGGAGAGTATGATTCGCTAACCCCCCGTAAAATTCTGAATCCAACTGTATCCCATTCATGGTATTTGAGCATGACAGGAGCTTATATTTGTTACAAAACCAATTGCGAGCCTTACTGTAATAATATATATGGGGATAATAAATTACAAAAACCCATAGACACTTCCAGTAAAGTAGGCCAAGTAAATTTTTTTCATAAAAAATTCAGATTCATTTGTAGGGTCCACTAAAACTCATAAATACGAGTTTGTTTTGAAATAAAAAAATTTTAATTTTTGGATGTAGTTTTATGGGAGAATTTTTTTTCATGCTGTTTACTAAAATATTCATAACTCCTCAGGTTTTTCTCCTAAGTCAACGTTACAACAACTGTTAGAAAGATAAATTATTGCTCATCAAAACTATATTGCTAACTTTAAGATTTCACGCCTTTATAAGGAATAAATAAATAAAAACTCCCCAAATGTTTTTTTTTTTGTTTTCAACCTTAATTTATGTGCGGGATTCTGGTTTTTGCCATTTTGTGTATATTACATAAGTAGAGCCATATCAAATTTATCACATCTTTTATGATTTTTTAAAAAAAATTTAAGCAAAATTTTGTGCAAAAAATTTATATTGAGCACATACAAAATCTGTATGCCAAATATATATATTTTTTTAAACTGGACGGGTATCAAAAGTAGTATTATTTGCACAAAATGTAATATTTTGTCGATATTCACCCTGAAAATATATTTATGAACATGAAATTTATTTTTTTGAGATAAAAAAAAGATGATATTCATTTTTCGCACCTCTAAAAACCCTTAAATATGAATTTTCATTGCAATTGAAAAATGTAAATTTTTTTCTCAATATTCTGCCTTATATATCTTATGAGATCCATCTATGTTTATAGCTTTATAGTAGATATTAAAACTGTTAAATGTATATATTTAAATATTAAGGAAATTTTTTTTACAATAAAAAAATAAATGTATTATGCTAATATATGTATTTTTCTCGACTCCTAGGGCGCATTGGCAAGAACCCTCAGACATGATTATAATATTTTTTGACCTAGTATGACCAAAAAAAGTTTCATTGAAATCAGTGACCCCTCCCCTCCCTCTATCCGTAACCTCTCCTTGTTAGTCCCATGGGCCCCATCAAGACCCTTCTTTAGTCCTGTGGGCCATGGCTTATGATGAGGAAAAAAAGTTTGTTCTTAAATGACACCTTAGTTATAAATAGAGCTTTCTAAGAGAAAAAATTCATTCAATAAATATTGTAGTAACCTCGTGCTTGAATGATTTACTAAATTCCATGTTTTTAAATGAGAATCAAAATTAATCCAAACAAATTACTTTGACCCTTCATCGTAAACATACTACATCCTGTCCTAGAGTATCCTTTAAAGATATTCCACTTATCCCTGTTGAAAGCTGACAAAATTTGCAATAGAAAACGTAATATTAGTTTTTTCATTATATTCTATAGTTTCCGTGATATCTGTCCTTGTAATTCACTGATTTCGAGGAAAAAAAATTTTGCATCGCATTTTTGTCATTATTTGACTCGCCAGCTATTTATCTTTACATTTTATGAAAAAGTCATGACAAAGAAAGTTGTTTAATATTAAATTTTCTTTAAGAATATATAATAAAATGAAAAGATAAAGAGTTGGCGAGTCAAATAATGATAAAAATGAGATCCAAATTTTTTTTTTTCGAAATTAGTGAATTACGAGGACGGATATCACGGAAACTATTGAATATAGCGAAAAAACTAATATAACTATTTCAAATTACAAATTTTGTTAGCTTTAATTTCACTTATGACATTATTATAGATAGAACTCGTAGTTTCACAGATATAAGTTAATAAATCGAAAAAAGTAAACTTTTTTGAATCATAAATTCAATTTTTTACTTGAAATCCATGGTATGGGATAACTAACTATTATTTCATGTCTTAAGACTGTGAATACTATAAATTGAAAGGGTTGGTAGCTTTATATATCTATAAGCCCTCTGTATATATACATAGCTTACAACCTATGTAGAGTCTCTATCTATCTTCACATGGCCACCATTTTGTATTCCAGCAGCTATATGCTGGCAGACGTGCATTTTTCTCATCAGGCCTGTGGATATGATCAATTTATAAGGACAAAGCTTAGTATGAAATATGCCACCTATTTTGCCTCGGGCTCCCAAATTATAGGACTCCTTCCTGACAAACCTCTTACTTGGAATCCTCATACTAGACTGAAAAGACTAGAAAATGCTAATAGATTTCGATTTCTACAACATTTACTTGACAAACTCTCTAGACTTCCAACATTCTACAAAAAAAATCATATACACTATCATCAAGCCCATTTGGACATATGAAATTGAGCTTTGGGGGCTCCTCAAAATCATTGAATCGTTCCCGTATTCAATCCAAAATCCTTAATGCTCCTTATTATCTCAAATAAAATTATTCATAAAGACCTCAACATTCCCTTTGTTGGAGACTTGGCCCGAATTAGATATTCCTCTTTTAACTCCAAACTCTTTGGTCATCCCAATCCTCTAGTTCATAAAATTTTATTCAAAATAATTCCAGACAATCCTCTGAGTTGTCTGAAAAGAAGATGGCCAAGGGACCTCCTAAATTAATTAATCTTTGAAGTGCTACCAATGGGTAGTTTCTTCAAAAGTTTTTATATTATTTTAGAAGATTTACTTGTATGTATGTATGCAGTTGTAAATATCAATAAATGAATAAACATTCTTCTTTTTTTAATTTCCTATGTAAGGAATTTCCTTGAGCCCGATCGGATGTGCTTGTAGGCACCTTGAATCCAGCCCGTGGGCCATAGTTTGGAGACCCCTGCTCTAGGATATAGAACTATTATTGACTGTATTATTTTTATTTTTGTTCTATAAGGAAACTTTTACTTTTAGTAGATGATGTTTATTATTAAATGTTACCTTAATAATACTAAATCAATGGGGTACTTGCATGAATTTTCAATTTTTATTCATTGGCAAAGATTGGGTTTTAACAGTAAAAAATACAAAAAGTCACAAGTTTGTTATATGCATATTTGCAAAGATCATTATGTTAATAGATAAAAAAGCTCTTTTGATCTTCTGTCCCACAATTTTCCTTTATTATGGGATTTTAATTTACCTGAATGTTTTGGCCTTTGGCCTTCTTCAGCATATCTGAAAGATCTTTTAACATACATTTTACTTTACATATAATCTTTTACATAAATCTCTATTAATCTTTCAAAAAATATATAATCCATAACAATTACCTGCTTCCTAATTATAACAATTCAGATATACTGAAGATGACCAAAGGTCAAAACATTCATGTTAATTAAAATTATATAATAATAAAGGAGAATTGTGGGACAGAAAATCAAAAGAGCTTTTTTATCTATAAAAATTACTAATTGGTGTCCCATCCATTTTATTCATAAAAAGATCATTAGTGCTAAAGGAAAGTTGTTGGGACTGAACTACCTCACGATAGTGGAGACACTGGTTATATAAAGGGTTGCCAGCATCTAGGTCATACCATTGAGTATCTTGTATTTTTTACCTTAGAACAATTTTTCCAAATTCAAAACTTCCATCCAAGAAATATCTTTCTGATTTTACAATCGCCCTGTTATTTCTGAATAAAAGTATGTAGTTAAAAATGTATTTAATTAGCTTTTATAAATTCATTTTAATAAAATAGTGCTAAGATAGGTTTAACAGTATCGTGTTTGGCAGCCATACATGTCACGCTACTGTGGACTAAGGCCATACACCCAGAAACTACCATAGTTTCCATATCAAGTTTTTAGCTAATGTGAAATGTAAGGTAATATGAAACTTTTTCTGTTATTTGAAAAGTAAAATCTCAATCTTATTTACGTTCTTTGTGACTTGAATTTTATCCAACTCAAATTTATGTGAATCTTTTACCATCCAAGTACCCAATTGTCTGAGTAGGTTATTAAAGAGAAAACAACAGTTTTTTTTTATGTCTATTACTTAAGTTGAAATTTATATTGTTTTTTTTTTCTTTCACAGGGGAGCCTTTTCTGAAGTACGATTGGCTGAAAGAAAGGATGTTCCCAGTGAAATGTATGCCGTTAAAATCATTGATAAAAAAGCTTTGAAGGGAAAGGAAGATTCCTTGGAAAATGAAATAAAAGTTCTAAGAAGGTTTGTTGATGTGATGTTTAGAAAATTGTTGTTAGATAGAAAATAAATTTTATTCTGGGACGAGGTACTTTAAGAATAATAATTTTGTACAAAAATCATATCTAGCCAAAAACTATATTAATAAAAACTCAAATAATATTTACAATATCTTCAGTGACAATATATAAACCATGAAATAAAAAATATTTGAGAATAAACATAACTGTAATGGGGGAAAAAAAACAGAAATAAGGAAAAATAAAACGTTAGAAACACTATGAGTTGATTCTTTAAAGTTACAACTTGAAAAATATAAATGACCATTCACTTCAATCAAAATTCAATTCATAAAATTCATTACATGATTGTAGAACTCAAGAGGGATTTGAGAAGGAAGTGGTAAAGATGGTATTTTAATGAGTACAAGGAAGAGGCATGGAGGATATCAGATGGCAGGGAATTCCAGAAGTCAGTTGAGCTGGTAAGAAAGGAACATTCAAAGGTTTCAGTCCTATGAGAGGAAGGGGTATAAAGGTCAGAAACATGGGACATTGTTCTTTGGGAATGAGCTATGGGTTTGAACTATAAATGTAGGAAGGGTGTGGAGAATTGTTCATTTGGAATAGGTAAGAGCCAAAGGAGGATTTTCGACAGAAAGAGGGAAACAGCCACTTGTCTTAAAGGTGGGACTCATGAGACTGTCTCGAGGCACCAAAGATAATTCTTAGTTAGCAGTTCATGAGCCATTTCAATCTATCTTCTAGCACTATTGGGAGGCCACCATACATTGCATAGTCGTAATCAAAGTGAGGGAAAATTAGAGAGAATATTAGAAGTTTGTGTATAGGTTGTGGAAGTTGATGACAGAAGCAATGAAATAACTTAAGCATACCTATTTACCATCGTTAGATAAGGTTATGGTGTTTTCACCATTTGTGATCTATAGGTTTTTAACGGAGGAGCTAAATGTGATAGGATAATCGTTGATAGCTAAAGGGGGAATGTCAGGATTGGATTTAAGAAGAGAATTGGAACCTTTAACAATGGTCTGAGTTTTCGTTGTGTTTATCCTTAATTTATTCAGGCTTTCCCAGGTACTGATCCTATCTAGATCTGCCTGATTATAGGCAAACGCAACTAGTAGATTAGAAGGGTGAAAGGATAAGTAGATTTGGAAGTCATCAGCGTATCAATAGTGTGAATTGATTTGGGAAGATCATTTATATAGGAATTGAAAAAGAGAAGGGCAAGGCTCGAGCCTTTGCTTATTCCAGAGGACAGGGTAAGGAAGGAAGATAAGGGTTGGTTCAGAATCCCATTCGGAAACAACAAATCATGTCTCGGGAAATAGGAATCTGTCAGATCAATGTCTCGCATAATAAAAAGTGACCTTAGGATGGGTGCATTTTGAACGATGACAGGACAAAGGCTAACTATTTCCCTAAAAAAAATTAGAGTGGATAGATGCAAACTGCTCCTTGGCCGTTACACCAATGGTCTTTATCGAAAGATTTTGTTTAGCGATGAGAAAATTTTTACAATAGAAGAAAAATTTAACCGCCCAAAATGATCGTGTGTACGCACACAGTTCTAAAGAAGCCCAGGAAGTCATGGATGGATAGATGAGTGGAAAGAGGTCATCACCCCTTAGTGATGGGGTTTGGTGGGGAGTTAGCTTTGATGGCACCACAAAGCTCCATTTTTGTGAAAAAAACAGCCACTAAAAACTATCAGGATAATATTTTGGAAACTGTTGTCAAACCTCTAAATGATGCTTTGTTTACTGGAAGTCATTGGGTTTTCCAGCAGGATTCCGCTCCAGCTCAAAGGCCAGGTCAACTTAGCAGTGGCTGCAAAAGAATCTTCCAGAGTTCATCTCTGCCTCGTATTGGCCCTCAGGAAGCCCTGATCTCAACCCACTAGATTATCGGCTTTAGTCTGAACTGGAGAAGATGGCTTGCCACAGAGCACACCCTAACTTGGAAAGCCTCAAACAATCTCTGGTCCGAGCAGTTGAAAGATTTTCTCAAGAAGTGCTGTGTGCTGCTATTGATGACTGGCCACGGAGATTAAATGCCTGTGTCAAGGCAAAAGGGGGACTTTTGAGTAATTTCTTTTTTATTTTATTGTCTATAGATATACATTTTATTTTCTAATAAAGTTTTTGAAAAAAAAATTTTTTTTTCTGTTGAAATCTGTATATATTTTCTTGTAACAATATTTATGAAAGGACTAGGTAAAACAAACTTTTGTCATTTAAGATCATTACTTGTACAGATCATCTAAGTTATTGCAATGATCTGTTGCTAGAAACTTAACATCTTAACCTTTGTTCCATAAAATTTTATATAAAACAAAAAATCAAATATTAACACATCAAGAATAAAACAAAATTCAATTTAACATTTAAAATTAAAAATATTCCTGGATGACCTTTCCTTAGATCATAGTCCAGTCCTGCTTTCATTACACTCAACATTTGTTCCTAAACCCTCCTACATTGATTTCAGAACGAGTAAACTGGAAAAATTCTGTAATGATTTGGAAAATAAATTTGACTTTCCACTCAATTTGACATTCCACTCAAGACAAAACATAACATTGACACAGCCATAGAAATACTTTATAAGATACATAAATTAAGATAATGATGTAGAGTTGGTTGACCGTTGATATGATATGAGAAGGAATTAGTCGAGGGTGCGGTCAAAAAAATAAAAAAATTAAAATATATAAATAATTTTAATTTTTGCCGACGTTTCGACCCACTTTGCAGGTCGTCTTCAGGGCGTTGGATGTGGCACTGCGGGAGGCGGTTGAAACACAGTGTTTCAACCGCCTCCCGCAGTGCCACATCCAACGCCCTGAAGACGACCTGCAAAGTGGGTCGAAACGTCGGCAAAAATTAAAATTATTTATATATTTTAATTTTTTTTATTTTTTTGACCGCACCCTCGACTAATTCCTTCTCATAAATTAAGATACATAAATTTATAAGATACATAAAAAACTATTACATATCTACCAATAAAATTAACATCTCCCAACAGACTAACTTCCCATAGCATACACGTATCTTATTAAGGGGAAAATGAAGAGCAAGATCGAAGTGGCACAGGACTAGATACCCATCAGATAAAACATATTTCAACAAGTTAACTAACGAACTAAAAGCAGAAATTAGAAAATTCCAAATTCACTAAACTTGAAGGAAAATCTTACTACTGACAAATCACTATGGTTGACAACTAAAAAGCTTCTGAAATTCAAAGATTTTGATCATTTACTCATTGCTTTAACTCAGAGCTGGTCAAGATCTGATGAAGAAAAATCCCAAATATTTGCTCAAGACCTCTTCAAAACCTTTAATCCACACCCAGATATCCTGAATCCAATCCACCTTGAAAGTATTGAAGCAGAATAGAAAATCCCACTCCAATAGACCCTTCCACCTAAAGCATTTCATCCTTACAAATTTTCTCAACATCATTCACCGGTTACTTTCCCGCAAACCTCCTGGACACGACCTTATTACACCCCATATGCCCAGTCATGCCTAGTCATGGAGACCATTTTGTAGACTCAGGCTGTACTTTGACACCTTTTTCTCCAGGTCACCAGATAGTGGTCTAGTTGATCTCTTCTTCAACCTGCCAATAGATGGTGCTGCTCCTATGGCTAATAAATGGCGCTGCTCTCTTTTGACTGATTTAAAATTATAGTCTATAGTGCCCTTTACAGCTGTCCTATTCCTCACCTACATATACAATTCCATACTCAGATCCAACTATTTTCCTGACTCTTGGAAATTTTCTGTTATAAAATGATCCCAAAACCAAAAGAGCCACTAGAAATACCCTTATTCTTATTGTCCTATATCTCTTTTACTGATTTTGGGCAAAATCCTGGAAAAACTCAATTCTGAAATGCCTGTATCCCATCCTTGATTCTAATCACATAATCCCAGATCACCAGTTTGGATTCTGAACATCTCATTCCATTATTCAGCAATGTCAGCGCAGGTTATACGGCATGGGAGTCTTTCTCGAGGTAGAAAAGGCATTTGGTCGAATCTGGCTTCCGAGACTGCTTTACAAAGTTCATCAATTCCTATCCCCTACATATGTTCTCATTATCCCTTCCTAGCTCTCAGACAGATCATTTAAGGTAAACCTCAACGGTGCCTGTTCATCAATCTTTTTTTCTTCGTTGTTTCTCAAAGTAGTATCCTCAGTCCCATCCTTTATACAGCTGACATTTCAACCCATCCTAATAGTCAGGGTATACTAATTAATATTAGACTAGGAGCTCTTGAAATTTCTAAAATTTTCATGTTTCTTACTAAAATCCAAAATGGTCATCAAAAACGAGCAAATGTCACTTAACACCACACATTTTTTTTACTGTTAATTTTCAATTACAGCTTTAAACTTATTAAGTTATTACAAACCTAACTTAAGGTAGTGTAATGTTAAATAACGCCTGCCGATGGTTGGAACTAGCCAGAGACCCCTTCTCTGGTAAGTAGTGTAATCTACCAATGATGGCCAGCACCCTAAGGAGAGGAAGCGGAAGGTAACAACAAGGGTTGGTCAGGTGGCTCCCCATGCAGCAGACGGGAAACGGCCTGCCTCTTTGGTCGGCTTAGGACTGAATTAGGTAGGCTAGAGCCTGTCAGGAGGCTCTGAGGAGGCAGCCCCTTCACCTGAGGGAATATTGGAGGGCGAGGGCTGATAACCCTCCCCTCTGAAACTTTTTCATCCCGAGACCTCAACGAGAAATAGCCAGCAGAGGGCTTATGTCTAAGCCTCGGAGTATGTCCTAATTAGAGCATACAAAATAACTTTTATTAGATCAAGCAAAACAAACTTTCAAGCAATTTTGTTCGAAGTAATATTGCTTGGTAATATAGATATGGTTGGAGATGGTTGGAACTAGCCAGAGACCCCTTCTCTGGTAAGTATTGGAATCTACTAGTGATAGCCAGCACCCTAGGGAGAGGAAGCGAAGGTGACAATATATTATAGCGGCCACAAGAAGAATCACTCATTTGGCACTGGGTTCGTTATGAGAGGTTGGATGAGTCAACAGGTTATTGGATTAAACCCTATAAATGATCACCTATGTTCCATCCACATCAAGGGAACCTTCTGCAATTACATGTTCTTTAGCTGTCATGGACCTACAGAAGCCTCAAGTGACGATGAGAAAGACACCTTTTATGATGCCCTGAGGCCAGGCCTTTGATGCATGCTCCAGATCCGATATCAAAATCCTACTGAGGGATTTCAATGCAAAGGGAAGATGCATATAAACCCACGATTGGCTCATTCAGTTTGCATAAGGGAAGAAATGAAAACAGCAAGAGGGTCATTGATTTTGCAGCATCAAGAAATCTAGTAGTTGGAGTACTCTGTTCCCGGGGCGGTGGATTTATAAGGTTACATGGAAATCACCTGAAGGCATTACCCATAGCCAGATTGACCACATCTTAATTAGTGCACATCACAAATCCAATATCCTTAGTGGTAGGACTTACAGAGGAGCAAATGTTGACTCCATTACCTTGTAATATCAAGAATTAGAGCCAGGATTGCCACTGTCAGGAGCCACAGGATTGAAAGGTCCAAAAGGTGGAACATCGGAAAGCTGAAGGACCCAGAAAGCTGCCAAGCATTTCACCAGAAAATGGAAGAATTGGTGAGAGATTGGCTCAGAGTAGCTGACGTCGAAAGTATACAGGATGTCTAGGACCAACAGGAAAAAGCTTTTGGACGGCGCAGCAGAACAAATCCTTGGGAAGGAGGTTCTTAAGGGTCTAGGTAAATGGTTCGACAAGGAGTGTAAGTTGTTCAATGATGCGAAGAATGAAGCTTACAGAAACATGTTAAATAAGCACTTCACCAGGAGAGAGAGCCACGGAGGAATATAGAAATGAAAGAAGGCTGGAGAAGAAACTCCTCAGGAATAAGAAGAGAGTATGAGAGAGAACGGAGCGGAGGATATAGAGGCCCATTGGAGTGTAAAAGAAAGTAGGAAATTCTTTCAGAAGGTCAATAGTGGTCAGTAGTAAGTAGTCAATAGTCAATAGTCAATAGTGCCGCTTTTAAGCCCAGGATTCAAACATGTAAGAAAGAAGATGTAACACTGCTTACCAATAAGCCGGATATACTGGATCGGTGGGCTAGGCACTTCCGTTTGTTATTAAATTGGGAAGCAGTTATAGAGGATATAGAGGCACACGACATTGCTGGAGAGGATATGCCTAACAATCTTGGAGATATCGAGCCAGCAAATTAACTTCATTTGCTACTTTGGTTACTAAAATGTTGTCACCATCAATAAGTTTTTAATATTTTGATAAAGAGCTACTTGATTGTGTGCAAACTGCTAGCACAAAACATCTAAGTCTGTGCTACAACCCAGTGTGTTGTTATTGAAGACATAAATCAGACGTTAAATGCACCATAGAATTATTTGCTCTCAAAAATATTTCTTTAGAACTGAATTCTCTACCTTATTCAGCACGTTTGCACCTGATTATCATTATGTAAAATTAATTATTGTAACAACAAATTTGGTCATCCTCTCCCCTCCCCACGATCATTGGTGTCCCGCTTTACCAATGTTAAATCTGGTCACATTATTCTTAACCCTCCCATATAAGTAGAAATATAAAAGATAAAATAAATTCACAATATTTCTCAACTTCTTCTTTGGTGCATACTATTTATTTTCAAAATAAATACTATATTTTAAAAAAAATCTCAGCAAATTATTACTCAATGGTTTATTATTTCCAAAGTTTTAAATCTACGTATGTGTGTATATTGTTATATCTTGTATAATACAGTTGATTAATAAGAACATGTTCACGAAAATCAAACCACCATTTTGCTTTTTGATCAGGAAGTGATTATTTAGTTAATATACTTTAAATGCATGTGTATTTTATAAATTTATCATTGAAGTACATTTGCATAATAATCACATTCTGAATACATATCAAAACTGACATATCCTACTAGCTAGCATTAAAACCCCTTCATATACTGCAGTTATAAATATTTTAAATATATTTTGGTATGTTTTATTTAATACAAAAACTATTCCAAGTTAATTTTGTAGTGTACTAAGTTCACCCACAGGTGTAATTAAAAATTAGCAGTAAAATAAATTTTATTAATAGTGATAGATTGCCGTTTTTTCATTCATATTGATTTTTAGTGTCATACATGAGAATTTTCAAAAATTTCAGAGAGCTCCTAGGCTAACGTTAATTAGTGTATCCTAAGGTACATTCATACGAAATTGGTACTTTTATCAGCGATATAACGGTAACATTAAAATGTAGCCCTAAGACACCATCATTTTCACTTATGCTGATGATACATGCGTGTTGTCAGTTAATAGTGGCCCATTTATTGCTTCCCAAACCCTTCGGTCACATATCACAAACCTTAAAGAATGGTGTTGAAATTGGCGGATTTAAATAAATTCCAACAAATCCCATCAAATCACCTTTACCCTTCATCGTAAACCTATGACTTTCTGGTCTACCGAATCCTTCAATAATATAATAATAATATTCCACTTATTCCTGTTGAACAGATCTCTTGCTTAGGATTCCATCTGGAAAAACTTTTTACTTATAACCTTATACAATACTAAAGTAATGAGAAACTGCTAGACGTTTCCGGCTACTTCATCACTTGACTATAATAAGGCCTTATGGATTTGAGCTTCTTGGCTCCACTAAACCATCAAATTCCTTTTGTATCCAATCCAAAATCCTCAATGCTTCCTACTTTGTTCCAAATATCATCCATAATGACCTTAATGTTCCATATATTACTGACTTAGCCCAATCCAGATACCTATCATTTCATAATAAACTTAAGCCCATCCAAATCCACTTGTTTCTAACCTTGCATCTTATAAGTTTTTTTGTAGCTAGCAATAGGTCAGAAGGTGGGAAGGAGAGGTATATTTGGAAATCTTCTGCATAAATGTGGTATTGGGAGTGATGGATCAGGAGAGGAAGGTCATTAATGTAAATAGCAAACAGAGTAAGGGATAGAGGAACCTTGAGGCACACCACCTTGTGCCTTGTTGCATCTCTTCTATTTCCTTTATTTCACTGGTCAGCCAAGGTGTAGTGGGACAACCTAAGGTTTTGGTTTTCAGAGGAGCATGGATTTCTAATATGGATTGTAGGTTTGAGGTCAGGGTATACCATAGGAGCAATGGAGTTATAGGAATATATGATGTCCCATTGGAAAGAATTAGGGTCAGATTGAAGGGATTCATAGGAGATAAGGTTTAAATTGTGGTATGAACCAATTTTGGGAGTGAAGGATTTCTTATTACCATTCCTATTATTTTGATTAATTTGACAATTTAATTCTTCTTAGCTTAAGAAAAAGGATATTGAATATGGATACTTAGTTTTAAGACTTGAAAATGACCCTAGTTTAGGCCGGAATGTTCTCAAGAATGAAAATATAATATTGGTGGAATATAGCCTTAAATTTTGAAAAATGAAAACCTCAAGACACCAAAATTAGGAAAAATGAACAGAATAGAAATCCTTTCAAGTCGTAATAGAAATTTTATAATAACTCATAACATCTGATTGTTCTTACTTATTGCACGGCACTACAGATCGGTGTGACTCTTGGCCTGCTTTACTAGAGTTACCCAGCCTGTTCTGTCTTTGGCAGTCCATGTCCATGCCACTGCACTATTTCATCCTTCCCTACTTCATCCTCCTAACAGCTACATGATTTTCCTCTTCTCTTGGCAATCACTACCTCCAGTGTCGTATAACCTGTCCAGTCTATCTTAATCTGCACACTTTTATGGAGTTCGCAATATCTTTGTTCTTTAAAATTTTCTGTATTTCATTATTAGTCTTAATTTTCCATTCTATTTGCCTTGTACGCTCGAGTGGACTCCAGATTTCTCACTTACATTCTTTCTAACCGTAACCTTTGAGTATACATTATTTAAAGTTAACTGTATCATTTTTATCAGCTTACACAGGACCCTATCTTTATATAATATATTTATAAAAACTTTCTTGTTCATGCTATCAAACACTTGTTTGTAATCGATGAAGAGAAAGTGTAAGTCAATGTTAAAGTTATAGCATTTCTCCATAGATTGTTGAAATAAAAATTTGATTAACTCATTCCATCAGATTGTTTTATCACTAGGATACTTATTATTATTTTGTTTTGGAAATAAATCTCCAAAATATAGATTGCATGTATGGTTATTGTTCTGTAAAGACAACAATTAAAGATTATTATGAAAAGATCGTAACATCTGTTTTAATGTATTAATAAATGTTTGTTTCAGGTTGACTCATCCTAATATTGTCCAATTGTTGGAAACTTACGAAGATAAACAAAAAGTTTACCTGATTATGGAATTGTAAGTTAACTTATAAAGTAATAAATTTATTTTGAATGGTATAGTGAATCTTATATTTAGTTATAGTTACTTTTTTTAATATAATGTAATGATTTTTATTTATCAAGTATTCACATTCAAAAAATACGTTGAAATTGTAAATAATGTGATAGAAAATTCTACGAATTCAAAAATGTTAAAATCAAATCAAAGTTGAAATTCAAAAATCAAGAGGTTCTGATGAAAATTTGAAAATCGGGTTGGAATAACATCAAGGACATACAGGATGTTAAGGTCATGATGTAAGGTTTTGTTCATAACATAATAAGGAGCATTGACTATTATACGGATGACTTTTGACTAGAAGGATTGGATACGTTTGATATTCGAAAATTTAGTTGTCCCCCACAGTTCAAGTCCGTAGATCCAGAGGGGTTTCAGTATGGTCTTGTATATTAATACTTTGTTTTCAATTGAGAGGTTAGATTTTCTGTTAAGTAGTCCGTATAACTGGCCAAATCTTCGGTTAAGTTCTTGTTTTTTTAGTCTGGTATGTGGGTTCCATGTTAATCTTTTGTTTAAAAGAAATCCAAGATACTGAACTGCATCTGAGATGGGAAGAGGTACTGAATTGAAAAGGATATGCGGACAGGATCTGCGTCGGAGGGTAAAGGTGGCATACTTGCATTTGGATTCGTTGATCTTTATGCGCCAATTGTTGCACCATTGTTCTATTAAGGAGATGTGTCTTTGTAGGTTTAGGGATGCTGTTTCAGGGTCTGAGTGGGATGATTGGATGGTGGTATCATCAGCAAATGTTATTGCAACAAAGTAGAGTTACAAACATTTAAGTAAACCGATCCATTCATCAAATTGATTACCAAATGGAAATTTACTTTTAAAAACGAAATTAATGCGAGAAACATTACAGTTTAAAGTACAACTAAAAGTAATTACTGTATTGCAGTTTTAAATTAATCGAAATTTAATGAACGGCAGAAAACAAAATTAAGAATATCACCTAATTTCAAATATAGAAAAAAAAATTATTTGTCTTGGCTTATTTTATTACATTTAATGCCAGTTTTGGGAATAATTTATCTTTGTTATCTTAAAAATAAATATATTGTATAAATCTGATATTTTTATTATTGTATATTGTTGCATGACTAGACTAGTATTTCATTTTGTTTTATTATTAACTATTATTAAAGGTTTTTGTTATTTATTATTAGAGATCAACTGATACCCATATTAATATCGGCATATTAGCCATGTTGACCTTTTATCCGTTATCAAAGACCGATATGCCAATATAAGCCTTCCTCTATTTTTTTTTTGTTTCACCATTTTTTTCTTTATTGCTAATAAGCAATGTCAATCAATCATTGAAGAATGGATATAAACATAAATTTTAGATCGATATATCGGCCTTATGATCTCATTTTATTGAGATTTTGGTAGTTTGATCATTTTTTTATTTTTTTTTTGTTTGGTCCTCTGCTTTCCCTAATTTGAGTAGATACTAATATTCCTAAGACCGATATATCGGCCTCGTGTCCTTATTTTATTTAAGGACCATCTTGTTTACCGATCTTTTTTCATTTATTTTGTTTTTGTATTCCTTTTCTTACAAATTTTATTTGTCCTCCTATTGGCTGATATATCAGTCTTACAACCCTATTATATCATGATTCACAGAGTTTCGCTTCAATATTATTTATATTGCTAATATATGTGTCAACCAGTCGCCAAGGAATCGACATAAACATAGACTTGAGTAGATTCTGACATTCTAAAGACCGTTATCGACCTGATAGATTGATTTTATTGAGATTGTTAGAGTTTTACCATTTCATATATTTATTCATTTTTTCTTTTCCTTTCTCTCATTTGAGCAGATAGCGGTATTCCAAATACTGATATAACTGTCTTACAACCATATTGTATTGAAATTCAAACTTGGAATATTGTTTTTATTTATATAATAGGGTGTATAATAAAAAAATGACCGTTTTATCAAATTCACAATTTTTAAGGACTGTAAATATTTCAATCCTATTTAATACTTACCAATACTTAATAATCCCTTTAGAGCATTCTCTAAGCTTGTTTAATCCCATTCGACTTATTCAAAAAAAGCCTCGGTTTAGTTATTTGTTTCAAAGAAGAAACATTACAGTGTCCTACAAAATTTTCGCAATTTTAAGGCAATACTGGAAAACAAAAAAAAAAAATCACAGACGCTGAAGCAACTCGTGAAATTATTAAATATGATGGGGAAGGTATCCTTGATTTAGCAGTGAAAGGAAGAAGGGCCCCAGGTATCCATCAATGGATATTAATGAGGTTCTGCAAGAAGCTGTTGAGTCAAATCCGTCTACAAGTACTCCCTAACTTTTTTTTTATCCTCTTTTTTTGATGTCGCCACCTACACATCTCTTCTCTCTCCCCCTCCCTTGTAACGACTTTTATTCTCCCTTTGACACTTAAGGAGAAAGGTAGTACTTCTTTTATTTCTTTCTCATTTCAGCTTTCTCAATTTCTTCCCTCCTTCCTTTCATTCCTTTTCTCTGTTTTTAACTCTTTATTATATTATACATTGTCTGTACATCTTGATAGACTTTACAATATCTCAATTTTCTATCTAACTACTCCATTCTCAATGTTTTAATTTTACTATTTATTTTCATTTCTTATATAACTTTATATTTCTTTTTTATGTTTTACATTTTATTCTAAGATTCCCATTGTAACACTTTTGTCACCCCTTTTTGATTATGCCTACTTCATCATTCCACACTATGAAACAGTTTTTATTATTCATCTCTTAGTTCTTAGTCGTTATTCTAACTATTTCATTTTACTTTATATTTATCTATTTTATTTTTCTAATAATTTTTTTTTTATTTTTTATTATCTTTTTTACCATCATTACTTATGTTTCTCATACCTTGTTATCTGGTTATTTTCTTAGCCCTGATGAAGGCCTGAACTTCAGGTCAAAACGTCGGCATATGTAAAAAATAAATATTATAATTTATTTTTGCCTTCCTTTTTGACTGAACACCCCAACTAATCTTCTCTTCATGATTCTCAAAATAGACATACAAATAAAATGGACTCTTAAATACAAATTAACTATTAGAGTTTATTCTTCCACTAATCTTCTAGGTTTGATAATTCTTCTTCCATATCTAGACATAGCTTAAGGTAGAGATGAGTTATGGGTTTCAGAAGTGACCTCAGGACTTTCTTGTGTATGTTGCGGTAATTGAGCTGGAATCAGTTGAGTCTCAGTATCTGATTCATTACTTTCAGCAGTGTTATTTTCCAAAGTGGGATAATTATTTTGTTCTCCACTAATAACATAAGGATTTCTTGATTTCAGGAGATGAACTGAGTTCCTAACTAATGTTTGGCCATCTTCAGTTCTTATTATGTAGGATCGGGGTGCATTGTTAGATTTAATAATCTGGGCTGGCTCCCATCTCCTTCCTCTTCTATGTACCACACTTTCACTATCACTGAAACCTCTTCTCTGCTGTGATGTTTTATCATAGTATAGCTTAGACTTTTGCTGTTTAAGCTCCTTATCCTCCTACACCCTAATGACATTTGGCAGAAGGTTTTCTTCAATAGTTGGGAGGACTGTTCTTAGCTGTCTGCTCATCTTTACTTGTGCTGTGCTTTCTGACAATCCTTTAATTGGACAGTTTCTATACTCCATTAATGCTAAATTGAAATCTTGTCCCGATTCATAACATTTTTTCATGAGGCTTTTGCAAATACCAACTGCTTGCTCCACCATTCTATTTGATTGTGGATGGTGTGGGCTGGTGTTACTTAATTTTATTTCCCATCCTTGACAAAGTTGCTTGAACTCAAAGGATGAAAAAGGCATATTATCAGCCACAATTTCATCAGGTATGCCATGTGTGGCAAATATTGGTTCAATAGCCTTGATTGTTTCTGATGTCTTATATGGCATCTTTACAACATCAAACCAAGCTGATAAATAATCTACAATTATTAGATAGGAATAGTTTCCTAGCTGAAAGAAATCCTTACCTACTCGTTGATAAGATCTTGATGGAACTGGGTAAGGCAATAAAGGTTCCTTTATATTTTTATCCCTAAACGTTTCACATATTTTACATTTTATTACATATTCCTCAAGGTCTGAGTTCATTTGCGGCCAGTAAATATTTGTCTTGCCCTTGCTTGTGTTTTGCTGACTCCTAAATGCGGACTATGAAGCTTCTCCAACATTTCTTTTCTCAAGGAAAAATGCACCAACAGCTTTCGGCCAACAAACACTAAGTTTCCACTAACACAAATTTCGTCTTTAAATTTGTAATATACTTTTATTTCATCAGGCACATCTTTACTATTGCACATATTTACTATCGTTTAAAAACAAGCGTGATCTTACAATCCCCACATCAAAGAGACACCCGGCAGAGGCAAATAGGATCAAATTTGTGTCGATTGAGAAGAAAAACCGAAACAAAATGATAAACCGCCAACTAAGAGTGTGGTTGAGCTTCAGGTTAAGAGGTGGAAAACCAAGGGGGCGGGGTGGCTGAATAGGCTAAAGCGTGTGTAACAGCACCGCTAGTTGCCTGGCAACCGGATAACAGAGATTTGAGATGATATAAAAAGTATGAGTTCGCGTCCCGGTGCCGGAGGGGATTTTAAATTTCCCCGCCCTCACCCCCCGGCCCGGGAAAATCCCGTATAGCCTAAAAGGCGAGGTAGGGAAGAACAAAAAAAAAAAAAAAAATTGACACAATTATAAATAAAACACTTCCTGGCCCAAAACACCCTACTATTCAGTTTTATCAAATGTGTAGAAGGAAAAAAAATGGAAAATGAAGAGGAAGGGGAAGCGAACAAGGCTGCCAGAGAGAGAAGGCAGGATCAATTTGAATATGAACTGGCCCAATATAAGTGCTACAATTATAGAAAAATAGTGTTCCAAAGTATCATGAATGCGGACAGCACAAAGCAATGCTCCA